CTCCTCTCTCTCTCTCTCTCTCTCTCTCTCTCTCTCTCTCTCTCTCTCTCTCTCTCTCTCTCTCTCTCTCTCTCTCTCTCTCTCTCTTCCTTGTCTTCTTTGCAGGTACGCAGCACCTTTCTTCTATGGCGGACCTTCCTCCTTCGATGGCGCGGCTACAACTATGGCGCCCAGACAATGATAGCGCATGGGATAACGAGAACCAGCTCTGATACCAATGCAATCAGACTCACTTTCTTCTTCACTTCGCATACATGCAAACAATGGCAATTCACACTGGCGCCAAGCTCCCACTCAAAGCTCAAAGATATGGAAAACGAGAACACAGTTCAAATGCCAACTCGCTACATCCCAACTGTCATCACTGTGTCCAACACCACCGTTCGCACACACTCAACTCTGGATCACCCTGAATACCCCACACACGCTCGCTCACTGCATCACACACGCATACACACATTAACATCTAACACTAGCTATGGCGGCTATGGCCGCCGGCCACTACTAATTATGGCGCACTAACTTCTTCAAGCCCACTTCGACCTCGGGCATCTGCAGACCACCTCGCACAAGACGCTCGGGTAGCGCTTCCGCATGCCTCAGGCAGGAATGAATGAATGGCTGGGCGCTACCTCTTGATTTATACTTCTGTAAGTCACTGGTCTGCCCTTTTCCACCGGGCCCACGGTGCAGACAGTCCCTCATGGTACTTGCTGACTGTGCAAAGTGAGACTGGGACTGGGTACTGCTGACTAAGCGAAGTCGGACTCACCACTTGCCCACTTGCCTCTGGTCTGCTGTGAGTAACATGAGACAAAACTCGAAAGGCCACTTCCAGACCTTCCGGAAGTCTGTGGACTTGGCCTTTCGGGACTGTAGCAGCTATGACCTTGACATTTCAGGACTGTAGCAGCTACGACCTTGACCTTTCAAAATTGCTACAGCTACGACCTCTGCACAACTATGACCCCTAGTCGACAGACCTACAGATCGAACCCCTGCAACTACACAGACCTACGACAGGCAACAATCAACTATCAGAACACAGGTCACGGGTTCAAACACACAGGGGTCGACTTGATACTGTACATGGGTGTGATAAGGTCTAGGGTTCGAGCCCTGGGATCTGCATCTGCTATTGCTAAGGTGAAAACCGTTTCATTCATCTGAAAAAAAAAAGACAAAAGTCTGAATTACCTGGGGCTGGTGTGACATCTCATGGCCTTTCACTACCTACCTACTCCTAAGGATATATAGAGGATACGCCTCGAAGCATAGTTACCTCTCACGGTGAAGGGGATAGATATTGCATGTTGCCCCTTGCCCTAGTGGTGGAGATCGCTGGCCCTGCGCTTATCCAGCTGCCCAAGGCATGAATCAAAACACTGGATGGCGCTGATCGGTACTGATTGGTATTTCTAAGGCCTTGGATAGCTGAATTGTACACATTTCAAGATGGCACAATGTGACAATGCCCTTGCTACACTCTTCACCCGAATACAACATATGGTCATTATTGCTCTATCTAGACTCCGAGTTTACCCAAAGACAGCTATTATATAATAACTGTACGTCGCATTTAGTGAAGACGG